AATTATAATTGTCAATTGAATATTAATTATAAGATATTAGATAATCAAGTTGGATACTTTAAGGGTTTCAGGAAAGTCGGTAGTGGAATTGCATTTTACACTCAATTAATTAATTTCGAAATAAGTGCGATTGGGCACAAACTTTTATTATAAGTAAATGTTAATTACACTCTTATATTTCAAAGAAAATTAAAAAAATTTAATTTTTCCCCTTGTACTTAAAATTTTCTCAAATCCAGTCGGTCATGAATAATAATATGCTTTTCCTTGAGCTACTGAAATTAAGTATATTTTAGTATGTGTTTATATAGAAAATGAACAGAGACAAAGAAAAATTCAATATTTCTTCGGAAGATGGTTGGAGAATGATATAAAAAATGATCAGTCCTGGTGTGGCAGATCAGTATTCCATTAGCCAGTTTTGACTTCACCATCAATAAGATCTTGTTGAAGACTACCACATTCCCTTTGTCGATCCTCACTTCCGACGTCCCGTTCACCCGCAGTTCGGGTTTGAACTTTTGACTCCACCATCGGTAAGATCATTGAATAAGTAATCATTACTTATTCAATGGTTTCACTTAACGGTTGAATGAAGGCACGCGCGGTGTCGGATGCCGCTTTCTCACAAAGCGCATAAGTGTGAATATACAGGATGGCCCGTTATAATTTTTGGTGTTTGGACCGAAACAACGTGTAGATGACGGTTATTTTCAAAATATATTATATTTTCTAAATATGTTGTCATTTAATAAATAATTCAATGTATTATGGTCATTCTGGTTCTGACGCCTACCTCACATCTCAGAATTTAAGTTTATGCATTGAATAATACTTATTCAATGGTTTAAGTTAGAATTATAATCGTCTTTTATATTTTTATATGTGTATGTAACATGAGATAATGTACCTATGGGGAATAAATGCTATTATTATTATTATTATTATTATTATTATTCAAACGAACAAAATGCGTTTTGGTCGCTTTTAAAATGACCACAACGCGTTGTGGGCGTAAGTTAACGACCATAACACGTCAACATATTTAATTTCGGTGTTTGGTCATTTAGCTTTGGCCACGGCCGTATAATAGGTACAGGTCTGGAAACTCGAGCCTATTTTCTATATGGGAAGTGAGGCTCTTACGCGTCGTTGATCGAGGAGTACCGTAAAGCCGTCACGGGCGGAGCATGAGTCGAGGGATGTTCGTTGACAACTGTCATGGCTGACTTGTAATGTAATCATCTGTAATTGTAAACACAAGGACTACCGCCGCCTTGAACCTCTACAGCTACGCCAAAAACCGCTGCTTTGACAAAAATGAGGAAACAGTGCATTGTGTCGAAATGTAAAACGGGGTACAAAAGTGTTAAACAAAACCTTCTGTTTTTAAAGTGCCGAAAGATGCAGAAATGCGTGAAAAGTGGATGCTTGCGATGAATGCGATTCTAAAAAGTTGTTTGAACGTTTAGCGCGGTGAGCGGACAACAGCGACCAGGACAGCGACACATCATAAGCACAAGAAATTTCCGTTGAGTAAATTGCTGTAACAGTTTAAAATAGTATTAACCTTTGTAGTCATATTTCTATTTCCATTACCCTGTATTACATGTTCGCGCATCGTTGAGTGCAACCAATATGTCAATTCTCTAGTTACTTTTATATTTTTGTGTCGCCTGCCCGTTTTAGTTTCTCGATCTACCGATCAATGACGTCAGTTTACTGTAATTCGATACCTTGCTGTCATTGGTTTTAAATTCGTTTCCTTTATCGATAAGCATTTAGATATTACCATTTATGGTATTGACATATCCATCGGCTCTCGTGGTTGGTTGGAATTATTCGTCGTCGGTTGCATCGTGACCGGAAACAAGAAAGTTAGCGTCTTTTTTTCTCGCCATCTGCTTTAGAAAGACGGTCGATTTATGATCCCGAGTTGGGGGTGCTTGTTATATCTTCCAGTGGTTGATTTTGGATCGAACACCCTTGTGAAAGCATCTTTTAACCAAGTCAACCCAAATTAATGTTTGCACTAAGCAGTTTCGTTTTAATGCTTGGGGACAAACTTCTGTAAGGAATTTTTTTTTGTACTGGAGAAATTTCAAGCCACCTTAATCGTAAGTTATACTCCGTGTGATCGAATCCACTTTACCTTCTTTCTATTTCTAGGGGGAATCCATCGTATTTATGGTATAAGAAGGCTACCTTACTTTAACGAAGTTCTTTTTTTTTTGTGTACTCTCTGCTTTAAGAGGTTAGCGCATTATATTTGGTTAACCGTGGCCATAATTACATTATATTTTAGAGTCCTTGTAAGGAGTTGAAGTCCAACGATTCCGTAGCTTCTACTTACTCTCTAAGCGAAACACATCTACGTTAAACGACAACATGCAGGAGTTCCGTGTACTGTAAAATCTGCCATCGAAACGTTACTATCTCTAAGGCGCAGCCAAACAGATACTGCGGACACCAACCCTTTTGACACCTGTTGCGGTACATAGAAAACCGTTAGCCGTTTACACGTACACCAGGAATCTTAGGAACCAGAGACCTACCTATCGTAGTGGTGATATCTTATTATTGTTTAAACTATTGCCTTTGTGTATTTGCATTTCGTTTAACCCATACTTATGTGGTAAATGTTAACTGGCCGAACACTAGAGCCACCCATATTACTCTTAATTAGTACGCTTGAAATTGAAAGGGATTAATTTGCTTTAATTAACTGCATTTACTCATGTGAAGTAAATCACCTGTGAAGGACAGAGCTCTATACTATGATTTAAACTTCGATACCCTACAAGCTACCAATCAAGGTATTCAATCCACTGTCAATTTAACCCATTAAACTCAATCACTGTGCAACGGTAGTGGGTGTTCTATACCTACTTTCAGGATTTTTGGTGTGAACTAGTTTCAGCTACTAAATTTATGTAATATTTCATTGGGGGAATTTTATGTAAACCTTGGAATTTGGGATAATTATTTCAACACTTATACTTGGGGTTGTTTAGTTTTTACATAACGTGTTTATTATACTTTATTGATTTTTGATTCCCATTTGGGGAACATAACTTCTGTGTTGTGGTTACGTATGCAGGTGCAATTGCACACAATAAACACTTATTTTTGTGGGTTATCAGTTGCCTACTTTAAAGCTAAAGCTACCTTTCCTAGTTCCGGTAGTGGCAAGCGAAACTTAACTTGGAATTAGGTGGCGCCCAAGAGATTTTAAGTGAAGCGACCAAAAGGAAGTACTGACGACCTAGGCTGGACCGAGGAGTTATAAGTGCAAATTACCAATTAAGTTAATTCTGTTACCCACAACCCTGTACATTAGTCTTTCTCTCTCCGCTGTTTGCTATTTGGTCAACAGAGCTAGCTGGCCGGTCAGCGGCGTGTGTTTTATTTATGAAGCACATGGTATTTTTGTAGTGCCTTGCATTTTGCTGCTTGCGCGTTATATTGCGTACAGCTGCTGGCCAAAATGCGGATTATTAGCGTAGCCGTTCTTCAGATTTGCTGGGTAAAAAACTGCCGTTAACCGCGCCCGAAGTTTTGACAGCGCATTTTGAATCAGATAGAGAATAATTCGAATCAAATTTTCTCAATTGAATGTACCTATTCTATCTACTGTATTATATTAAGCCTCCCGTAGTATCTTTTCCATTGTGACATTATAACTATTATCCTTCCTCTGAATTCAAATAAATAATGCAAAAAGTCGCATCAATTTAATGAACGATAGAAAAAAAAAGCATACACGTTCGGATTTGAACCTGGGTTGTCGCGATGTAAGCCAACGGTTACACCATCTGCGCCAAGGGGCGCATTTAAGCATTCCGTATGTATTTCACACCTAGGGTGATGCGATTGATCAATTTCAAGTCTGCGGCTAATCAGCGCCAAGAGTGCGAAACGCACATACGGAATGCCATTCAGTGCGAAACTCAGACACGGAATGCTCAAGCGCAAAATGAGCATGATTCTTGTTATCAGTCACTGTTTATGTGAATATTATAAGCTGCTAAGTTCTCAAAAATGACTTTGCTTAAAACCTTGAAAGTGAGTGAGTGAGAACAGAAACGAGCGCGAAATTTGACGGCAAACGTAAAAGTCAATAAGCCCAATGCCATTAAACATGACACACAATACTATACTTAAATACTTATTATTATTTACTGAGGTGAGGTGTGAGGTAACTAAATGTGTATAAACAAAGAAATATGATAGATAATAATTATTAAATAAGGTTTCTTTACGTTTGAATTTTTTTTTAATTTAAGCTTCCTATGAAGCCATATTTTTTACTCATATAATTGAAGATTTGAAAAATCAAAACATCATATTCCTGAGCATTATGTGCCTGTGTTTCGCACCAAATGGCATTCCGTATATCCGTCTCGCACTCTTGATGTTGATTGGCTGCAGACTTGAAATTGACCAATTGCATCACCCTAGGTGCGAAATACATATACGGAATGCTTAAATGCCAACGGGACATATGTTTACGTATACTTATACGGATATAAGCGGTTTCAAAATAATCACCATCCCTAGATCCATACGCCACCTGTAGGTAGCAGCTAAGCGAAGGACTACGAGTTTGACGACACGTAGAGCCTCATCTAAAACAACAGAATTTCCCGACCTGTGTATACGACCGTGGCTTTGGTCATAACGCGTTGTGTGTGTTATTTTCGCTCATTGGCGTTTTCGATATTTGTGCATAACATATACACCAAAACTTCACATTTCTTTTTTGAAGTAAACTAATGTAACGAACGAAAACCCCAAGCTAAAAATTAAGTAATCGAGATTAATCAATACTGAATGGATGTTAGTTTGAGGCCATTCCCTACAGGGACCATATAAATGCGATTTCCTACGTCCACAGTTTGTGATTGCAATTTAGCGTGGCTCACGGCTATTTTAGCCAAGTAAATACAATTATCTCCAGTTCTATATGAGAAAAGTAACAATATTTATTTTTCTTGAAGGTATGTTCCGGAAGTCCGGGAGGACAAAAGCTAACGGCCGACCAGTATCGAGCTTGCATCCGTTCCAGAGCACTGAACGAGGCATCGCACGCCCAGCTAGGATTCTTAGCATTTCGAGATGATATCGCAGCTAACAGCAATTCGGCGAAGTATCCCCCGGCACTTGGTCCGCCTCTACACTACCCCAAGAAAGCCAAATACGTAACCTGAGAATCGACGCGGAAGTTAGAGTTTTAGTGTACAATAAAAATGAACTTTTTTAAATACCATCCCGTGTGAAGGTGCTACGAATATGAAATATGTGAGTTGTTTTCATGTGATATATGAAGCCATTGCCGAAAAGTATTCTTTAACAATACGGTTATGTTTCGTGCTTAAGTTTATTTAAATTTTTATGTAGATCGTTGTACGACTGCCCATTATAACACATCGAATATTCAGCCATTGTGATTAAGATGATTAGAGACAAGCACATTATATTAGAAAAATTTATAAATCGTTATTATTTTGTTAAGGCGTAACATGAACTGGGGTTAGCTTAGGGTTCACTTTCAATTAGGGAAGAAAAGAGAATCTTTCTTTTATTGTTTTATCACAATATTTTGAATCTATTTTTACCAAAACGTTATACTCGTACCCTGTTGCAAAAATACTGCAATACTATGATCTATTTCCCTACTCTGTGAATCAATTCTTAATAACACCACAGAGTATATAACGTAGTATACTCTTTGATAACCAAAGAATACTCTTTGATAACACACTCAATACAAATATGTTAAACTAAACTGTCCGTGAGAAAAAATAAACTACAATGGGACGAAACGAAAATATCCCAAAATCTCCGACTATGTGAATTATGCCTATGTGCTTTATTGCGATATCCGTATTGCCCAAATATTTGATTGACCGAATACGTTTATGAAAGATCTTTATTCGCCTATATAAATATGAGGGATGCCCAATCATTCAAGGAATTTATTTGAATTATAAACACGAACCTATAGTAGTAGAAAGTAGAACGTTTAAGTTATCATTATAAGATTGTCCAGGCCGCGGTCTAATGCATTGATGTTGTTGTGTGTACGCCCGTACAGTACACTTCACGTTGTACCCAACACTCGATGTAGCATTCGCTTAATAAAGTAAGAAGCAGCGCAGTCGCTGGCATTTTACTTGTACTATTTATTTGTATTATTAGTGTGTCAAAATGCAGGTTTTTAAAGTAATAGGTTACACGTCACGACGTCACCGGAATTAACCTTGTCGGTATAGGCAAACTTGCGATCAAAAATGAATTAAATTGGCCGCACTTTGGCCCTAAACTTGGTGTAAAGCCGATTTTAAAAACTTCAACTAAACGTAGTTCCACTTTCAACGTGGCAAAAGGAGGCGCTTTTTTCTGGACGTCCTATTTAAGAAGAAACCCTTCTTCTAAAAATCAAAAATATAACAACCAATCATACGCAGTTGACAACAAAGACCTCCCTCAACGTACGATAATAACTGAAAAAATAGAGGTCCAATAATTTTTAGTATTCGATTTGTTATCAGACATTAAGAGATAAATTGTAACGTTAATCTCATTAAATCCTTGTATGTTAATTGTGTTGTCCCTTTCCTATTTTGAATGTTTCGTGAAGTTTACCCCTAATCCATTTGATAAATCCCGGTCACATTCCTTTCCCCTTATCTGTGTCACATTTTTGCCCGTGGGTCAAGAGCATTCTGCATTAAGTATTAGAATCAAGCACACGATTTTTGCCACTTTTCGCAATTATTATAAACTTGCATTGAATACCTTGATTAAGGATTAATAATTTTGGAAAGTTGGCTCAGTAGTTGCTACCCTTTAGTAGTATTTTTGGTAGAGCTATATTTCGCTTCGACGGATTAAATATCGGTGCACATGTTAAGAAGCTCGTAACACCTGCGAGGTAAATATTTAATAACCTGTTCCACATTTAGTTGACTTACCTTTTAGCTTCTTTTTTATACGCTGAATATCCAACGACATTTAACATCTCTCGGCTGATCAACAAACCCTTAGGCATATCTGATCCTCTATCTGGCCGCTACAACATTTGATAAGAAGAGTAGGAGGCTGCAGATAAAGCTTACCCCTCGATTTAGTACCATCTGCTAAGGTGATCAGCCAATAAAGGTCAGAAGTTTCCTGTTTGTGTCGTCTATTGTTCCCATTTCGTGTCTTCCTATTTACCAATGTTAATGTTTATGTAAATTTCAATTATAACGTACCTGTTTTTAAGAGGTTGTGTCAAGGTACACAAAACTACAACTTTTATATAGTCATCCGTCTGAACTACTGCGACTCATTCGAACGTATAATAGTCAAATCACCTACTTGTGAAGCGTCAACAAGAGTTTTGCTTTGCATTAGCATACCCTAGGTTAGGTGACATATTGGGTAGCAAAGATAAAAGAAAGATCTTTCTCGTATCCCCTTGTGCCCTTGCAGTACAGTAACTATTTTTTATAGAACCTTGTGTAGCCCGTTGCCTCCTGATGTATCACTCCTCATTTAAACTAGGGAATTTATTTGCCAATATAAAAACCCTCCCGTGTATTGTTGTTTTATTTTATCACTCCTCATTTAAACTAGGGAATTTATTTGCCAATATAAAAACCCTCCCGTGTATTGTTGTTTTATTTCTTGTTTGTAATAACCGAGTTGTCCTACAAACAATTGTTTTTAGAGCGGAGACAGTCACCACGATAACTGAATTACTCGATATTGTACGCTCTTGGCGCCCTGATCCTTTCCACCCTATAATTAAACCCATACCTGCTAGCTTGGGGAGTAACAGTTACTTTAGATCAAGATCCCTCGGATTGTCCTTGTCCCTTATTTGTAGATTTTGTAATTCCTCCCGTTGCAAAATCCAAACAAAAATTCTAGGAAAAATAAAATTTCATCTCTCTTAACTACACAGAAAAGGTGATAAATCGCATCCACCTGTCAATTAAATTAAGTTTTTACATTTGATAACAGACATAAACCGAACAAAATTGCCGGAAATTCTACGTTAAATAAAATAAAAATGTAAACAAAATCAACCTTGACCGCTTTCTCGTATACCATAATAATCTCCATGCCGTTACATAGACCAACAACAAATTAATAAAATTTAATTACAAAAGTTAATTACATAAAAAGGAGACCGCCCTTGTCCATCTTAATTAAGATGTCCGAAAATTTCATCCTGCCAGACAAAATAAACACAGCAATATAAATATTCAGCGGCTCGGTTTTGCCTAACCCATATTAATCGCCGAAGAACTGTTGAAATTATGAATCATAATACTTACCAATATATTAATATATATATGACTTAAACCTAGACACAAACAATTATCTGTTAATTTAGGCTCTCTAGGCGTCGTTAAATCAAGTGTATAACATGATTAGGGGCAAGACTATAGAAACCGTTGCTGTTCAGTCATGCAAGTTGCGCGTTTTGCTGGTGGGAATGTGAACCGCGCACACCTCATAGAATGATGCGTTTTTTTTTTAATCGAACATAGCGAAATTACATTACATACAAAAGCGCATGTTTTCTAGAATAGAGTAATTGCTGATGACAACTAAGTCACCTACCCAGATGCCACTGATTATTAGACTGCTACCTTTCCATACGGTAAGTAAATACACAACGATCTACTTCCGATGCTTGACAGTCTAATAAGTAATAAATATAATAATAAATCGGACAGCTTTTGACACCAACCTACGACATGCATTTTTTAATCCCTTAAATACCTTTCGTAAAACACCTTAGACCGGACTGCTAATTGTAACTAAAATATGGTCAAGGACATCGCCTGGGTATGTGAGTTTCAGGGTAAACGAATCTGTACGAAGCTGTCCGATTAGAAACGATTTGACACTGTTAACCTATAAATTCACAAACCTCTTCTTATTTGTGGACGTATAGAAGATGATCAAGAGTATATTTAAGACTACGGTGCCCTCTATCCGTGACCACCCATTTTGTATTGAAAGCATAGGGCTAATAGCAGTCCATGTACTACTATATGGTCTAAGTAAAACACACACGTGGTCGGTACCATCCTCACAAACTTCAGGTGGTTGCTTGTAGGCAGGGGTATAACTCGCCATGTAGATACGCACACGTAGTGTCCCAATTATGAGGTAACATATTCAGATTCTCGTTGATATATGAGTTATTTTCAAAATTTTTACAAAAATTGGGTTTTTTTCATCCCAGAAATGGGCAACGATGCCGCCATTTAACATACACTGTATCCCTCGACGTTACGGAGTTCCCAATGATGGGCCACGAATTTGTACCACTCTGTATAAAACTCTACAACTAAAACGATCGGAGCTGCCTTGACATGAACGTGACGAAGAAAATAGAGTTTTACTTTGAAAGGGCAAACAATGGTAACTAATTCCTTAAATGATTTGATATCACCTCATAAAATAAATACAAATCAGCCTTAGAGTGGACACTGGGCAGGTCATTTTTTTCAAAAAAATTAGGCTGGTACATATAATTGATTGATTTCTGAAAAGCCTGGATTACATATTCGCAACTCTGTTACATGTTTTTATCATTTGTAAATGTTTACAAAAATGTGTACAAAATCCTTGCAAATGAAAGTAGGTAAATAAATCGTTTCGTTTAATGATAAACTAATCCTTCACGATTGTTAATTTATTATTGTGAGCCCAGACAGAAAACCCCTATTCATGTTTTACGTTGCTGGTGGTGTTACCTCTATGGTTTTTATTTGTAGGTGATCATTTCTGACTTTTACAGTTAGGAAAAATTTATTTAAAAGTACTTTTTTGAGAGAACGTGAAAAGATTAAATTTTGTTACTTAAAGAAAGAAAATAAAATAAAGTATTTGTAACGAAGAGATCTTGCTTTTTCCCTATCCGTAGATCATCGCGAAGGTGGGCCGGTAAGTATTAAAGGAATGTTATGTTTAGTGTGAAACAAAGGCGTGATGTAAGTAAGGAATTGGTCTATTCTCATAAAAAGTTGTGAATGTAATTGGTTTGCATTTAAAATTCGTGATTAATGCTCCCCAGTAAGTCTGGAAACGGAAAATCTTTTTGGAATGGCTTTGAAAACGGCCAAATAAATTAAATAACGGGTAGGAAAAATAAATCTCTAAATTTTTAATTAAAACTTTATTTGAGATAGAATTTCAAGTCATAATTCAAAATTACGATGTCGGTGTCGTCTACTTTTTATTAAATTTTACACTTTGATGAAACAAAGCGCTCTGCTAGGCACAGTTCTTTATTGCGGTCTCGGGAACATACTCTAACTTTAACTATGTTTGTTTGTTAAAAATAAAATACGCGACGCTCCACCGAATATTTTGTGGATCGTTAGTTGGGCGCGCTTCTAAATCTAATATCGAGGGTTTATATAGGGGGAGAAATAAGAATGAGCTTCTAAAATGGGCTGCCTGACTAGTTATACTTTAAAACGGGATTTTTTTTTGCTGCATCCCCGTTTCACTGGCATTATAAAAAGCATTCTCTAAATGTACGTGGTACTTTAATTGACGTGGATTTGAAGGAGGAGCGTGCAATGTGCATGTAGCTAGCAATGCACTGGAAGGCGACTAGAATTTCTAGTTTATAAAACTAGATTAAGCTCTCAAAGTGAAATTAAGTAACACAATACAAACACGTAACTCCATACTCGTGGTGATTTGATTGACGCACCTTACGGATTTCTCATATGTGATTATACAAATTATTTTAATAAAATGTATGAATGTTTGAAAACTAAAATTTGCGCTTTTAAAAATCCGATACAACTGAATACCGAACGATCCTCGAGGTTTTCAATTTTTCACACATAATATATCATGTTTACAATATAAGTACGTTAAGAAGTTGATTCTATACCACCAGATCAGCATAGCTTGTAAAACAAATTTTTGGAAGCGGCATTAGTTTTACTTGCCTATAGGTATACAAAATTTCATTTAAATATATTAACAAATAAAACAAGTGCAAATTGTGCACAACCCTTGTGCAGGTAAAGCGCATTTTTTAAACACCCCTACGAAATTTCCTCCATAAATAAGAAAGTTGGCAGTGCATATCCTACACAAAACCAAATTTGGAAAATGGCGCTACATTTGCTTTTATTCTAAGTGGCTATGTATGAAATTTCATTTAAATCCCTCCATAAATAAGAAAGTTAACACTGCGCATGCGCAAAACCAAATTTTGAAACTGGCGTTATATTTGCCTTTATTCCAAGTGGCTATGTATCAAATTTTATTTAAATGCCCAATGGTTATATTTCTTCCAAACGTCCCAATCGCCCTTGTAGGTACTTTCCTTTGACAATTCACTCTTAAGATATAAGGAATTATAACCGATCACGACAAGGGATCGAGGAGGAGGACTATGGTGAGTATAAATTTATTCCTTTCGTTGAGACCTTTCATTAGAGTACCATGAAGGATAAACTTATTTCCACTCCTCCCCCCCCTTCCCCTCCACCCCGTACTTTGATAAGAGCACAAACCAATTTATTTCGATGAGACCTTTCATTAGAATACCATGAAGGGTTGAACATGTGATTACCCCTCCCTTTATTCTCTAAAGTTTAACTTGGCACCACCACCACTAAAGGCATGCGATGCAAAATCTGAGACCAATTGGGTGTCGTAAAAGTTATGCACGTTTTACTTTCAAATACAGCATCTCAGGAAATAATTCGTGGGGGGGCCTCCCTTTTAGACAGCAAAATTTGATATCCGTTTGGCACACATTCAAGCTATAGGCTACCTACTGCAAAAAATTCCAGGACTCTAGGACCACTCCCCTAGAAGTAGTTCAAAACGGTAGAAGTGGGTCCGGACGGACGGACAAAACGCAAACAATAGCACATTGTTTTTAATTCTTAAAAAATGCGCTAAAAATTAGGATTGCGCAAATACAAAAGTTGGAATGCGCATGCGCAGTATTTTTTGCATCTGAACAGTTGCCTGACTAAACCCCCCCATTCATACGCGAGCGCTGTCCGCCAACATGGTTGCGCTCGCTGTATATTCGTTGGTGTGTGGCTGGAGCCAACATGAGCGCAACCATGCTCGGCGGTTTTCTGTCCAACTTGAAATCCTTGTTGTGCTTTCAGTAGGCTCATCACTTGTTGTTACGTGTGTGGTGGCAACAGCGAACTTCTATTACAAATTCGAATAAAATGGCTCAAAAAATTAATAATGAGGTCGAATTTTTAACGGACTTCACAAACGTGAAACTGATATTAAATTGTTAGTGATTTACTAGCTCGTTTAAAATATCTGCTTACCTTAAAGTAGCAATTAATCTGGCTTCTGCGGACACAGCTTGGCGGAATATTGTATTCTTTCTTTCAATGTATGGTCTAACCATTTCTAATAACTTTTGAAATGAATTTTCATCCATCCGCAAATAATTCCTATAGTCATCAGGACTTGACGTTCTTAATTCATTTAACAAATTCATATCTGAATATCTTTCTCTTTGTTTTAACCACGTTTTCATCCAAAATTTCTTCCGTTTTCTTTCGGTTTTCTTTTCATTATTTATTATAATAAGTACGGCCGCTGCAACGTTTTTTTGTGATACGCGCATATTGACTGAAGGAAGTGAAAACAGTGAATGTTCGCTAATATAGCTCGTACGTGTGTTCCCGAGACGGTCAACACGCGCCAAAAAATGCCAACCATGTTGGCGAACCGCGCTCGCGTGTGAATGGGGGGCTTAATAGAGAAAACCGGACATTCATATGTTCGTTGTAACAAGAGAAACCCTTTTTGGAGGCTGTAACTTTTTGGCCCGTTGGTCTACGTAGCCGAAAAACAATAGCGACCTTTCATATATCCTGATTCCTGAAGAACATGTGTATCAATTTTCAAAGCGATCGGACATTTCTACACAAAGTTATTGTGCATACGGACAGACAGACAGCAATACAAAATTAGAAACGATCTCGAAGATCGTTAAATATCAAAGATATAGGGATTATTATGAAACAATATCCATCTCCTACAATTTAAATCAAATAAAATGTATGGTAAAAATAAATAACCTGGAAATGGCAAAAATCACTGACAAATTGGGGGCTATACTATAACTAAAAGTTCACATAAACAAGCTCGTGGCCTTGGACTTTGACAACAGGTTTTCCCCAAGGTCGTTCGTCAAATTTCATTTAAATCCCTCCATAAATAAGTATCAAATTTCATTACCTTACCTTGCAATTCGGTTTATAAATTGTCGAGATGCGAAAAGAGCACTGTGCATGTTGATCGATTAGGCTCATCCTTTGGAATTGCGTTTGATATGGCTAAAGCTATGCGCATATTGAATTCATGCAATTCGGTTCATAATTAACAGAGATGTCAAAAGGACCTTCTTTATTTTTTGGTCTACATTGCCAATTCATGAACTCCAATCTACAAATTTGATAAAGAATCCACCTACAAAATTTAATTGTAATTGGTCCATTCGTTTACGAGATATCGTGCTGACGGACGGACGGACAGACACCGCACAGAGCTAAGAGCTCTTTAATACAGAGATTCATTCGTTGTCCTATAAAAGAGTTATTCTATTAAGAGAAATACATATCGCCAAGATATTCATGTTAAAAGATGAAATAAAAGTTTCATGGTTTCCTTAAAATGGGACCTTTTGTAAACATACGACAGCCATATTTCCTGTTCTAGATTCACAGACAGCGGAAGTACGCGGAATCCATATTTTTATCTAAAATTACATCAAATGAATAACAATAAATACTCTGATGGTCATCAATCATTGTCCGTGATTTTGAAATGCTTCTAAATCTCATGTCCGTGGCCAAATTGCTTCAGAAATTCTTGATGTATGTTAGGCAACTTTCCGTAAATATTTGCATCTGAGCAATAAAGTAAATAATTATCGATCGAAAAAGGTATATCGCTTCCCAGTTTTGATTATGTGTAATTTGGATACTTACCTATCTGAACACATATTAAATATCAAATATGCGTTTATTTATTGTGACATATTGCAACCTTGTCTTTATTAGGTAATATTTAGTCAAACTTGGTGAATATTTTCCTAAGCGTTTTAATATGTGTTTATTAACGATCCACGAGATCGTTTTATACTTTTGTATTGCTATCTGTCTGTCCGTCCGCCTGTCCGTCTGTCTGCCTAGTGCCTGTCCGTCCGCTCGTCCGCCTGCCCGTTTGTCTGTCCGTCCGCCTGTTCGTCCGTCTGTCTGTTCGTCCGTATGTCTGTCCGTCCGTCCGTCCGTCCGTCCGTCCGTCCGTCTATCTCTCCGTCTACCTGTCCGTCTGTCTGTCCGTGTGCACGATAACTATATGTAGAGACGTCCGATCGCTTTGAAAATTGATACACATGTTCTTCGGGATATAATAAAGGACGGTATTGTTTTTCGACTCAAAAAAACTCAAAAACGGCCCAAACCTCCAAAAAAGGGTTTCTTTTATAATTATTAAATTATTAAAATGAAACTCAAAATGAGTTTTTCTACAATTGTCAAAAAATCCTGTCATTTTTTGAAGAATTTCGAAACAAGGAATTCATCAAGCAACTTGGACATTTCTGTTAGTTGGGTTGTTATGTGCACTTAATATATGGGAACCAATATTTTTGTCATTAAAGTACCAGACTTAGTACACTTGTTACTTAAGTAGACCCGAATGGAAATCGCCCGGGAGGCAGCGGGAGACACGCTGCTGTGAGGGAGGGGGAGGGGGTAAACTCTTCTTACGCCGCGCGCGCTATTGGTCGTCATAACTGCTAAATTATAACTACTAGGACAA